TCTGAAATGATACAACAAATACCTCAGTTTGTGGAGCCCTCAAGAAAGGAGAAACTTCAGCTAGATAGCTGCAAACTCTCTGTATCATTAGGTTACCTATAACTCAGAACACTGTAATTGAAATGATGTGTTCCATCATGCTTCAGAAATTATGTTACTGGAAACAATAAAGAAAGTACTTGCCATTGTAGATCATATTCACCCTATAGCAGCTATGGGAAACGTTTCTCGTTAGTGGCAAACTCAGCTACAGTCCTTGAGTAATGCCACTGCACAGTAATCCTGGCCTCATCGAGTTTATTTTCCTTGCACATCTACTGATGTAAAAGAGTTTGACTATGTTTTCCTCTATACTTTGGTGAAGTTCTCGGAGCTGTTACGTGATTAAGTACACTTACTGTACTACGATCAAAAGCATCTGGAAAGGTGGAAGTGAAGAAATGCTCTCTGGGAAAGTTAGCTTAATGCTTGCACTTCAGAGTCACCCATTATCAACATTTCATAGCGAGTTTCTTTATTTCAGGTCCCCAAGGTGAGAACAGTAAATTATGACTTGAACTAAACAAGTCACACTTGGCTCCAAAATCAGATTTTCCTACCTCTACTTTCAGGTCCCAGAGGTGGGCAGAGGAAATCCTGGTCACAGCCAAAGAAGTCATTTTTGGCTCTGAAATAAATTTTCCTGCTTTCCTAGAGCCAAACCCCACCATTGAGAGTACCATAGCTTTAAGCAATACTTCAACATTTCTTTTATATATTTTGCTTTAGCAACCTGATTCTTTAGCAATAAGAAGCCGTTTTCAGTTACGCAGAATTAGGGGTTTGGCCTTTCTTTCTTAAATAAGTATTGCTTATTATCGAGTACACTTCTGAACCTTAATAATTTCCGTCTCCCCAACACTGATAAACTGTTTTAAACTCTTCTTTTTGGGAAAATGAGTGAACACAAGATACTACGTGCCTAAAATTTTTAAGTGAAACTAACTGATAGTCTTTAAAGGTTCTACAGAAAATAATACAAGTTGTAAAAGCATACAGTTACTAAAGGAGAGTAAATTCTTGCCATTTAATACCAGAAGTTGTGGCATATATTTAGCACAAACATATGGCGAAAATAAAATCGGATACTATACATCACACTTGAGAATGAGTTTCTACCCAAGTAAAGACTGATGTCGGGATCCAAAATGCTACAGTTCAAAATATATAACAGTAGTTAATGAGTAGTATGCTAGCATCAGATAACATGTATATGGGATTACACATCTTTTCTTGTCACGTTATTTATATTCTCTAATACTACAGTTCACTGGTATTCAATCACGTTACAAATCATAAAACATATTTAGAAAGCATGTTGATCACAGACAAGTAACAGTAGTGGAGATGAGCCAACATCAAACTGCCAACATGAAATACTGGTCTCCAAAGGCATGATTCTACAAACCCTTATGACTGTGCAGTCCTAGAAGTATTAAGGGGATTATTCACACAAGTAAAAGCTATGTGCAGGAGTAAGGGGTTATGGAATTGAGTCTTAAGAGGACTTCTACTAACCCAAAAAGCAGACATGCAAGTGTATTTTCATGTAGAAGCGAAGCACTTTTAGTGATTTAAACCAATCCCAGAAGTATCTCATTCATGGATATCCAAGGGAATTGTTAATCACTTGCATTTCCTGTTTTTAAAGGGATGTCATTATTAATCATCTTTTCAGTTTCTTCATTTGGTGTATCTGTTAAGCCCCTGTTGCTATGTAAAAACTACAGCTGTACCTGTGCTCATAATTTTATGTCTATATAGGTCTAACTTGACTTGCACCACTGTGTTTTGAATTTTCTTCCATCCGCTCAAAGTCAAGTTCTTCCCAAAGCTTCAGGGCTGGAAGTTTTAAATTACCAGGTATAAATCAATTTTCTGTTAGCCTAAAAAACCTAAAGGAACACCAACTGTATAAGAAAAGCAAACGTCCTAACTATCCTACAAACTTCAACTGTTTCATTTGGGAACTTAACACATCCTAAAAAAACACCCAACCAGCCAGACAAAAGATGTCTTCTACATGTCTTCTAATTTTTAAAAATCTGGATTCTTCTAACCTCAGGAGAAAAAGAGAATTTCAATAGAAAAAAAATTGTTAATAAGAAGAAACATTTAAAGTAGAATCAGCCACGCTAAAAAAGCATTTGGAATAATTACAATAAAATGTAGAGGAATAAAACTTTGTTTTCCTTTCTGATGTTCAGGTAAGGTCTGTTGGCTTAGGGGGACTGACGTAATAAACAATTTGCTTTTGTTAATACAGACGATTAAATACAGTATCAAGTTGGTTTTATATATAGTTAATGATTTTTGTAACATGCAGTGCTTAGTTTTCTGTACCCTTTTATAAGACATCTCTTTCATTCCATTCTGAGAAGCAGTACTATTGGATCAGCTGCCCCAGAAATAAACAAAAAGAATACTTTCAGGTGAAAACTGGTGTGTCTCTTTTTCCCTCCCCTCTTTTTAATTTTACATGTCAATCTTCAATATCAACAGCCAGTTTTCCTTAAAAATGCAACTGGAAATCTTTTTATCAGCTGACATGCTGCTGAAAAAGACGGTTAATCTTCCAAATTGCTTTTGTATTTATGCTTATATTTCTACAAAGCTACTCATTATTCTTCAGTGAAGAGAGTGACTATCCTTCACCATGCAATTGAGCTCAACTGGTAAAAGAAATGTAAGCTAACCAGAACTTTTTGGGGTATCTACTACACCTAAAGGCTTGGTCAAAACAGAACATCATTCAGTTTAAAGGGAAGTACTGCCCAGCTGGGTATCACTTGGGAGCCAAGATCTTGAGCAAAAGGCACATTTACAATAAGACAAATTTCCTCTAGCATTATTCTAGGAGGATTGCCACGCACCAGACAGCTCCTCAAATCTGATGCTAAGAGACTGGTGCATGCCCTTCTCTCATCCAGAATTGATCACTGCAGTGCTTTGTGCATTACCATATCTAAATATATACACTCAAACCTTTAGCTGCTTGCAATTTGGCAGCCAGTGTTTTTATCCCTACTTAAAAATTTAGAGGTTTTCTTCAGTCTAATTAAAACAAAAAAAAGTTTAGCACAACACTGATTTTTTGGAATTTAGTTGTCAGTAATGGGATGTTCTGCCTGTGATTGTTACGTTACATATTTGGTTGAACTCAGGGCAAAACCAAATATACTGTTTTCATCTTAAGAAACATAATTCACCCTTGACACATTCTTTCCAATTTATTTTTGTATCATTTAGAACACAAAAGTACTGACTTTCTGAAAATCATGTGGAGTAAATTGTAAGAGTTCCAGCCATACTACAGACCATTTTCAAAATACCATTTCAGCATACACTTCTAAACCAAAGCATCTCTAACTCTGGAAATAGTGCGAAGTATTCTTTCAATGTAAATGCTTTTATACTGAAGTACAGCATATTACATTTTAGTAAGGCAAAACATGTTGTGGCTGAATGAGTACTTCAAGAAGGTTATGCAAACATTGAAAGAACATTGCGCTAGGCAGCCACCGCTAATATAACCTTCCTAGTCCTTATAGGATGTGGGTTTTTTCCAGCAAGGCTGTAATTAGGCACACACTGTAGACAACAAAGAAGCCTTTGGCTGTTCACTGTAGTTCAGAATACATCTCTAAAGCAAAAGCTGAGTCTGTATGGGCTTTCAAGTGTGAACCTATGACTTTGTTGTTTGATTTGGCACTACTAATAACCAGAATCCAGCTGTTCCGGTATTTATTTATTCTGTGATACTTCACTTTGTTTCTTACTTCACAAAGTAGTCCCCAAAAAAGATATCTAAAAGATTAAGCAGTGACAGTAGCTATGTTGACTGGAAGAAGTGTGCCAGCAACTGGGTGACTATCTAAGTGACATGCACAGACCACTGAAAACTGAGCAGTCTTACAAACGAGTCAATAATAAATATTCTTTCCCAGTAAGTAGAAAGAAACTCTGAAAAAACACTTTTCCATGTTCATTAGCTTTCTTTTCCTTTATGAATGCTTGGCTTCAATGACGAAGTGCCTATTCTAATGGAACATCATCTACCCATGAGACAAGACCTGCTGAAGCCAAAGAGAAGGAAGCGTTGATGTGGGTAATTACACAGCAGTCCAAGCAACAGGATCCACTTGCTGAAAACTAGAAATAGTCTCCAATTTCTTTAATTGGATGCACTTCAAAATGCTGGTTTTAGAAGCTTTTGCCTAAAGTGAATTATGAAAATACTAATGCCTTCAGTATCCAGGAGGAGGTTGTGTTATGTCATAATTTCGTACCTCAAAATTGCAAGCTAATAAAGTAGCATTACTTTGGAAAAGGTTTACAGTTCCACTGGCTGTTTTAGTGGGAAATATCGTTCACATAGTTACAGTACAGAAGGCAACAGGGATTAGAAAGGTGATGTATTGCAATCAATAATGATGTGTGTGAAACATTGCTTCACTGTTATTATTTTACACTAGAATTACTTTTATCTTTCCACCTATATTCTGAAGTAATCTTTTGATCAATCCGAATGCTTTATTTAAACTAGCATTTTCCTAGAGTTTAACCCAGAGCTTCACAACTGAATGACCAAGGAAGGGACTTCATTTCTATGCAAACAGCACAAGTTTCAGTGCATGAAAACAGCTGAGGGAATCCGGACCGCTGCTTGACAGAGTATGAAGTTAATGAGCATTTTAACAATGCAATAGCCTTCACCAGCAATGTCAGACAAAAACTTGTAATACATCTATAGCATGATATACATTTATTTAGAATGACATAAATGAGTCCTCAAGACATGCTATGCTGTTCCTCCTCTTACCTGTGTAGAAGGAAACTCAAAGAATTCAAAAGGGATTGGGAGGAATACAAGGGTACACATTTAGAAAAAGTATTTTGTGCATATTTGGTGTTTCAAACATGACATAAAAATAAAGCACAACTCTGAACTGGTATCCTACCTGGAGGTCCTTCACATTTGGAAACGGAATACCTATGGTTATAACTGCACGGGCATTCTCATCACAGAAATCCAAGCCTTCACTAACTTTTCCTCTGCAAACAGCTATAAGGAGTGCTCCATCTTGAAGAAGCCAGAGAGGAATATAATCATTACCAGTGATAAACTGAGTATCAGAAGAAAGTTTCAGTAACATCTTTCAAGAGACCAACATCTTTAAAGAGCTAAACAGAGCATAATACACCATGTATCAGTCCAGAAAAGGTAAGTGGATATAAAAATACAGACTTCTTTGTCAAAGGGATGAGATTAGCTCCACTTTGATCAGTAATATTGTGTATGATACTGAGTATCAACTAGCTAAGTAATTTTGCACTCCATAATAGAGTAGTACTTAATTATGCAAGAACCGTATGCATCTACAACAAGCTTCTAAATTGTAAACCTTGAAGTTTGCACTCCCAAAATCACACTATTTGTCTTTTTCCCATACTTGATCTTCTATACTGATATTTAAGTCTTTTGAGAAGAAATCCTATACTGACTGCACTCTAAGATGGCAATTGACAGTTATGCTACAAACAGTAAATTTGACTCTCAGAGAAGCTGCTCTAACACCCTGTGGGATACACAACTGCACATCCTTACACACCTCAGTGCCTTTTGGATATCATGATTAGGATTAAGCATCATCCTGTACTTCCCTACATCCTCATGCAACAATATAAGTAGCAGTTAATCTGCCTCATTTACCACAATAATTTATTAAAATGAGATTAATTTAACTGTTCATTCATACCTTATTCTGTTAAGCACTTTAAGAATCCCTTCTGCTTTAAACTTGAAGATTCTGTATCAACTATTTTGCATGTCTGAAGAACGTACCTCTTTCTCCTTTACATTTTATTGCTTCATAGTATATTTTAAGCAGTTCATCAAAGTCACTCTTTGCCCCTCCTTGAGGCTCTGCAATGACTGTTTTCACCAGCTCCAGCTTTTCCCATAAGCCAGTATGCATCCAGCGATCTTTTAATTTGTCCAACAGCTGAAAACAAACAGAAAAATCCAGAAGAGCTGTAATGAAAGGTCAGTGACTTGAACTGTTCAAATAAAGCACCCAAAGATACTTATTTCAGTGAAATTACCCAGGTTTGTATTAATGAAGTTTCCCTACCATACAATGCTCCACAGCTATGCAATGCTTTGTAAACACAACGGCCACTAATTTGCTAATTAGAAAAGCTGAAGTGTTTTGAGTTATAAAAGCCAAACTCCAAATCTATGACAGTGGTCACTAAAGAGCATCGTCTGGTACTCCACAAAGCAAGAGGAATGTCATCCAAAGAAAAAATAGGAATTATCTGGTTTTCTGATTACTCAGTAAATAAGACTGAAAACAAATTCTGAGTTAATCATAAACAAGCCTTTATATCTTATATTTCCACAATACTTTAATATTTTTTTTAAATTACATAGGTAACTGGGGTAGAAGGTATTTATGCAGGACTTAGCAACAGCCTCCTCTGCTTCTTGAAGGGCCTTCAGCTTTGTTACACCTACCAGATTCTGAACTGTGCACATTTTACACCAAATCGGTACATGTTCAAATCTGGAAGCAAATAAGCTTGTTCCACATTTATTGTGAACGTACTGCATTGCAAAAAGCAAAGTCTAAACTCACCCTGGAAATTGAGTGGACAGAGGTAAATACTTTATTTCACTCCATTTATTATTCAGTGATCACTAGCGTGATACTAAGTATTGTGCAGTAGAGTTACCCAGCTTCATATGTACAAAGATTTTAAATTCACAGATTTTGTAATAAGGGTTATGCTCTTCATTTGTCTGTGCTTCCCTCAACTTCACACACTGAAGACTTTCTCAGTATTTTGCTTCAGGCTATACAAAACTGCTCTATCTGGAACCTGCACTTGCCCCAGTTGATTCCTCAGAAAGCCTCAGCATGCCTTAACTCCAACCCCGCTTGCTTTGCTGATGTACTCCAGCCAAGATCTCAGCACCTTGAATGGTTGGGTTGTTACAAAATTAATCTGTCCCATGTCCAAATATCCAGTTTAAGTGTTATTGGGAAGCAGAACTAATGGTAACTGTCACATTTGAGTTTAAAGGGAGAACACCTGCAAATTCATATGAGACTCTTTACAAGAACCCGTGCATTATTTCATGTTCTCAGCATTAAAGATCTGAACTTATAACATTAAGTATTTGGATTAGTTCCTTCTGAGCTACATGTGGTTCAGAGGGGACAAATACTGTATTATTCTTGAATTTTCACCAGCTTTGTTCAAACCTCTGCTCAGAGAATTACACATGCGTGCTACTGATGTGACACCATTATCAAGCAAGCCCTGAGAGCCTAAGTGATGAATAGTAGGAACAGTTTCCTACACACATAGATGTTACTTTAAAATAAATCATCTCTTCTTAATGTGTCTGTCCTACTTCTTGTCCCCTTTGCTACCAGCTCTGTCATTTCCTGGCAGCATCCTGTCTGTAATTTTTTATCTAAAAGGTCGTAATACTATGACGAGCAATGACTGTCCATCTTGCCATCCACAGCCTGCCACTATGTCTTTAGTTCTTGGATATGACATGGAAATAATTCTGGTAAAGAAAAGAATCAAACATATTATGCCTTTAAGTACATCCATTTGGGATCTGCTAGAGCTGCCAGTGACTGTAACACTATTAGCTTTCCAGATCTCATTCTTCCTTCTGTGAAATTAATGTCTGCCTAGGCCTCCACTTAGCCATCTATATGCTAAATTCACCTCCAGCACTGCCTGCCATTTACCATGCATGACAAGAGGAAGCCAGTAAGATAATACAGACGGGATATATTTGGGTATGTGTGAATTTCACATTTACATACATAAACTACCCATGTTTTGACTTCTAGGGGTCACTCACCCCTGACTTTCTCCTCCTCTTATCAACATCCCCCCTACTGAAATCAACTGGTATTTTTCACAAAAAACCCTTATGAAGAGTTCTTTAAAGAAAAATTGTTTCTTCCTTCAAGAGAACCAAAGTCTGTTGATAATCTCAGAAAGGACAAAATTCCTTACAAAAATTACTTAATCCCTCAAATCCACTGTATTTCTCTCCTGTTTGAAAAGAGCGTAACTTATTTTCATAGTTGGAAAGGTGGCAGTAGAAAAGCATCCTCCAAATTCTAAGCAAACATCTTTTCTGTGGGTTACACAACCACTCCAGGCAAGTATCTCTTAAGACCATAACAGGTTCAGGTTTCCGGTTTAATTGACAGCAACCATCACAATAGAAAAATCTACAGTTTTTGACGGACATGTGTGAATTATTTATTTGAATATTCAGCAAGAATGGAACAATTCATTTAATTCACACAAAAGCTATTACCCCTTCCATTTAATGGAGTTTGCTAGATGTGGAAACTTTCTGGTATGCAGGAAAGCATGCACAAACACACACAATACCCACGCTACAGACAGAGACACTCAAACAACAAGAATTACGGACATGGCTGGATACAAATAAATAAAATATAGAACCCATACATGCCTCATAAGAGCTAGGAACCAAGCGCAGGTTTCTCATAAAAAATTATTTCACTTTGGGTTGAAAAAGTGCAAATGGGAGGACGATATAATGCCAGGAATCTCAGGAAGCAACCATTAATGCCCACAGTCAGTCACTTTTTCTACCCAAGGGAATAATAGTTTCTGCAGTAGAAGGCAGTCAGTGTATATTTTATTAAATCCTTTAAAAATGGATTCTCAAATGGTTTATTAACAAATGGTCTTCCTCCAGGAGAGCAGAAAATCTTGTTAGAAAGAATCTGTCAGCTTCCCATGCACCACTGAGGGATGTTTACTTTGATATCTTTTCTTTTTTTTTTTTTCCTTTCTGCAATTTAAGGACCTGTAAGCTATGATCATAGAAACTATGAGCTCAGTACTCAGATTCACCATTCGTCTTTGTCAGCATCCCCCTTTTTAGGCAGTTTTTGAAGCGCTTTTGAAGTTTGGAAATGGGGGAAACTATTTTCTCAACATCTTTGCCATTACGTTGCACTCCTAGGAAAAATCCTCTTCTCCTGTGTCGGCGAAGGAAAAGCTTTGCTTGTTTCCATCTGCCGCTTCGTTTTATACAGTGCCAAAAATTGCATTAGGGGCTTCCCATGTCATGAAGCAAGACCAAAGACTCATTTAATGTATTTTACCCTAAGGCAAGATCACTGTAATTTCCAGCATCTTAGCAAAGTTGAGAAGTTAACTTGCAGCAAGCAAGTTGCTGGGGATGCACTTTTTCATAGTATTCATTACCTTCTGACAGTGATTTTTGAAGTAGCAATTACCCGAGATGAGGGAGGGCCTAACAGAAAACACTGTTAACATGTGAGTTACTTATTCTGGTTTACAGCTCCCTAGCTCTTTCGCTGCTATAAGCACCTGCTATTGAATTTATTTACTTAGAATATTCCGTAATGAATGGATTGCACCTTGCCAGCGGAGTAGAAACACAAGAAATAATCCCTTCATCAAAAAGTGCTTGGGGAAACAACAGGACAAGTAAAAATATGAAAGACCGTTCAAGAGCAGTGCAGGACAGAAATTATAACGACCTAAGCAGCAGAATAAAATAACTCTGGCTTTATCGACTAGTTCAACAACTATTACCTATGTAATAATAACTATCAGTTACAGTTGTATTGTATACGCTCGTGCACCTTTAAAACTCTGTTGTCTTGTTACCCATACGTTTATATAATAACTGAACAAGAGGTATTTCAAGGGGCACAGTATTTACTCAAGTATCTTGCAACCTGCTTAAAACTCTGCTGTTATACATTAAAAACTCCACTTCTCCAAACTTTGCTATTTTTTCATCTTGTTTCTATGTAATTTTTCTTTTTTTAATGATATGAAGCTCCAGTTTTCATTGTTATTCAGATATGAATATTAACTGCGGGGAGAAAGGAACAGCCATTAGGTTTGACTTAATAAAAATCAGTATTGGCACCACTGTTAGTGCAAAAAGTCAGAGATTCTCAAGGGACTAACATTGATCTAAAAGCCTTTTCCCAAGCAGAGCTCTTCATGTGTGTGCTACCAGAATTTTCTTTTTGAATAAGCACTGCTTCAAATCAAAGTGTGTCTCCAGTGGGCTGGAAACGTGTTTGAAGGGTCAAATAGAAGTTCTACTCACAGTCAGCATAAAACTTCAGCAATGGAAAATAGACATATATGACCAACACAGGGGCTGAGCAACAGGACTTACCTCACTAGACTCCACTTTGGTAGAACTAAGAGAGCTGTGCTACACTCGGGACTAAAAGAACAGTCATGTGCAGAAAATGGGGTTATCATCCAATCCACCAACACGTAAACATGACATTCAAAGACGTACAGTGCCACTATAATGATGCACTCTTAGATCATCTTTCAAGTATCAGTCCGTTAATGTACTTTCTACATACAGACACCAAAATTCTAGTTACATAAAAAGAAGTGAGGAAGAGGTGGAGTTGGTTTTAGAAGCAGCTAAAAGCTCATAGTACAAGCATTTCCCTTTAATTTTCAATAATGTTACATGGTAGCATGTTCTGCTTTTTAAAAATATAATATAGACATGCATCGTAAAACAGTTTCCAGCTATGGTTTGTAAAACTGATAAGACTGGCCTGGGCCATTCCCCACTGGATACATATAAATGATTACATAAAGTACTTCCAAAGGAAATCTAGACTAACTATAGACATGTAGATTAACGACTTAAAACATGGAATAAAGGGATCCCTCAAAGCTCGCGCAGATAGGGAATAATACACTTTTACGTCTACAAAACCGAAATAGATCATATTATTTTTGTAATGCACAGACTAGGGAAATTACAGATTCTCCCATTAAAGAGTTTCTTTTTCCATGTAACTTTGGAACTGTCTTGCAGATTTATTCTTTAACTTTGCAGTACCAAAAACATTTTAAGAAGCTGCAGACATACGTACCTGCATCCAACTACACCTCTCTTCTAGCTCTTTCACAA